AAAGACATGGATCATAAATTTTTACCAGGGCTCAAGCCAAGGTACAGTCTGTATGTCGATGTCGCCCTTTCTCTTCGAATAAAACACTGAATTGGAGAATCTCTCGGTCCCGGCTGCAAAAAAGAAGTATTTCCAAAAATTAGAAAAACAAAATATATTACTAACAACAGTATAACAAAAATTTCTTTTTTTTTTTTATTAGAACCACCTGCTTAAGTGACATGGGAAAAGTGAGTAAACCGCATTCTTCGGGTGTCTTAACAATCTCCTTAGTTATTTCCCTCCACGATTTGCAAACTGATGCACAAGCTACCACAGCCTTACGAGCTGGCCAAGTAGTTTCGTTGGCCTCTAATCGGCCGATAATATCGAGAAGCAGCTCAGGTGGCAAATTAGCCCACATGCTTTCGTGGCACAACGGATATGAAGAAGACGATTCATCGGGGGCAGAATGGAAATTTATATTGCTAAGCCCAAACTGGTTCTCAGTTTGTTGCTTCGGTTTCTTATCTTTTCCATTTCTTCCCTTGGAATCTCTAAACATAGATTTGAATTGCATTTTTTTTCGCTCCGGCTAATTAAAAGTTTTCGGAACGAATGTAGACACTACTAAACGGTGAAGGATATGCGATTTTAGTGCTTGTATCTGAAAACCGAAAATCACAGCAAGAACTAATTAGGGCTCCGAAAATCGGAAATTTCCACATAAACAAATTTAACAAAAATGCTGTCAAATTTCAAGAATCTTCAAAAAAATATTTGAATCAAAGATCAAAGAGGAATTGAAACATAAAGAACACACAATACAGAAGAATTCAGAATTATACCTAATTCTCCAATATGTTCAGCCAGATCCAGACCATAAAATAAGCCCTCTTTTCACGTTTGGGTGTCTCCCTAATAAATAACATAAAATAAAATTACACACACATACACACGCACGCACAATTACACACACACATGTATGTATTATTTATGAGTGCCAAATATTTCTCCAAGAAAAAAGGGCCCCAAATGTCTAGGGCAAAATCAATCGAAAAAAAAAATCAATTCAGTGGATCAGAACGGAGCCCAACGATTACTTTAAGCAAATTCAAGGGCCCCCCACCTTCGATTTTATAATCTCTAAACAACAAGGTGAAATGTATCTAATTTCTGTGGCTGGATAAAATTAATAATTTTTTTGGAGAGAAGAGAGAGAGAGAAACTGCGGGAGATTCGATAAACACGATACGGCGGAGCGCCACCGCCACCGTCAACAGAAGGATGATGGCAGCAAGCGTTCCTCGGAGTCTCCGAACCTCAATTCTGTGTTTCCCTCTTTATTAGAAAGTAGGAATTTTTTTCTTTTGGTTGCCATTTTCATGGTTATTATATTAACGGTCGAGTATGTGTGAGAAAGAGTGATTGCCTGGTCTCTGTGTGTGTGAGAGAGAGAGAGAGAGAGAGAGAGAGAGAGGAGAGAGAGAATTGGATTTCTAAATTTAGATTAATATAGTTGATATACCTAATTGGGCCGACCCAATGGACCCCAATTTATTTAATAATTAGGCCCAATACACGAGAATATTCGGGCCCATTACACGAAAGCCCAAGCACCTTCAAAGTAAGGCTTGGGCCCAACAAAATAAGCCCAACTTAATCAACGACATATAAATAGAAGTTTTATTCATTTGAAAAGGTACGTGCTCATTTTATTAATAATCAACCACAAGTTTATTCTCTCCACTTTTCTCTACGATCCGTACATCTGACTTGAGCGTCGGAGGGGTTTCCGCCGGATCAACCCCCGGCTTAGTTCACGTGCGCTCATTTTGTAGGGACCTCAGGAACATCGAGTTGACTAGCTACAGATCAGCTTTGCTCTCCCAGCTCGTTTTATATACTATCCTAGGTGAGCTATACTCTAGCATCATCATTTTGGCGCCGTCTGTGGGAACGATGCAAACCAGATCACGTAGCCAACAAGATCCTCCTGAGGCATCAGCTCGGAGAGAAAACGACACAGCTAATAACCTCCCCGCCCGTGGAGGATCTGGCATCCCACCTCCTCCACGCGCCGCGGAGCAACTTCCTCCACGTGCCGCGGAGCCAGCTCCCCCACGTACTGCAGATCCACCTCGCGAGGTTCAGGTGATCCCCCCTCGGGACCCACCACTCGCCGATCCACCACTCCCTGCTCCTCGAACGGTTCAGATAACCGAGGACGCACTCCAACGTATGATAGCGGAAGCTTCTACTCGCGCCGCCACGGAGGCCGTAACTCAATATATCGCCACGATGGGAGCAAACGCTCCCAATGCGATACCAGCACAAGCTCCACCTATAGCACCACCAGTGGTCCCACCGCCGATCCAGAATCAAATAAGCGTCTCTTCCTCTACGTCGGACCCACGGTCCCGAGTGCAGCTATCTACTAATCACAGAGGAGCACAACCTAGACAACAACGTCGGCGCTCACCCCTACGGGGGAATGCATCGCCACCAAGAATCCCTCTCTTTAATGAGGGAGAAGGCGAGGTAAACAGCCGAGTGTCTCGCCAAAACCTTTTCTCCCAACCAAATAATCAAATGGGTGAGAGGATGCCTCTCCCAGCAAGACGCAGTCCCTTCACCATAGAGATCATCAACGAGGTATTACCTCAAGGGGTAAAGATCTCGGGGTTACCTCAATTTGAAGGGACCACCGACCCACAGGAACATATTGAGAAATTCAGTGCCATGGCGGATTTATACGGCCCGACGGATGCGGCGATGTGCAAGATGTTCCGCACCACTCTCTCCAAGAGGGCAATGAATTGGTTCAACTCCCTGCCCATAGGGTCCATTGACACCTTCGCTCGGTTGTCGACCCGATTCACCAACCAATTCGCCATCAACAAACAATACGCCAAGACCCCAGCTCATCTTTTCTCTGTAGTGCAGAGAGACAACGAAACACTCCGCAACTACATCAAACGTTTCGTAGAAGCCGTCCATGAAGTCCCCAGTGTGGGGCAAGACATGCTCTCAGGGATTATGCAACAGAACTTGAAACCGGGTAGATTCAAGGAATCTATTGCCGGAAGACCACCAGGCAACCTAGAGGAGTTGTTAAACCGAGCCGAAAAGTACGTCAGGATAGAGGAAGCTTCCACCCACGCTCCCCCTAAAAGGAAAAGGGAAGATGACCGTCAGGACAATAGGAGGCGTGATGACCGACGTCCACCACTTCCACCTCCAAGCCAACCCTCCTCTTCCTACAATAGGTTCACTCCGTTAAACGCTCGCCTCACTGAAATCCTTCACGTGATAGAACAGAGAGGTTTAGCGGAGCCTCCACGTCCTATGCAGCCTAACGCAAAGCGAGAAAAATCGGATCGCTATTGTCGATTCCATAAAGACAAAGGGCATACTACGGAGGAATGTGCACAACTTAAAATGGCGATTGAGAGGCTGATCAAACAAGGCCATTTAGGCGAATACGTCGACAAGCCACGAAATAAACGCCGTGATGATCCTCCACGCCGAGATAACAATCGAGATCAACAACAAAGACGAGAAGATGGGGGTCACCGACGTGACCTAGATAACAACGATAACCAGCCTACCCGGGGAATCATCTCCTTCATCTCCGGAGGACCGGCGGGGGGCGATTCACAGAATGCAAGACGCACACTCGCTCGATCAGCGCGCATGAATCAAGAACGCGCTTCTCCATCCGAACGCATATATCAAATACGAAGACCTGATCACAGCATAGTCTTCAACTCCTCCGACCTCGAAGGTCCAGATGAAGACCATGTCGATGCATTGGTCGTAACAACAACGGTGGCCAACTTCTTGGTCAAGAAGATATTAGTGGACGGCGGAAGTTCGGCTGACATCATGTACCTTCACGCTTTTAAGCAGCTGGGTATAGATAACGCCCGATTTAGTCCCGTCTCCACACCCCTGAAAGGATTCACAGGAGAAGGCATCTTATCCATGGGAGAAGTGGAGCTGCCTGTCTCTTTAGGGGAAGACCCCTGTCGAATCACGAAACTAATCAAGTTCCTCGTCGTCGACAGGCCATCACCCTACAACATCATTCTAGGGAGGCCAGCCATCCACACATTCAAGTCAGTACCTTCCTCCTACCATCAGAAGTGGAAGTTCCCTACTCCCTATGGAATGGGAGAAGTGCTTGGAGATAGACGTCTCGCTCGAGAATGCTATGCAAGGGCCCTACGAGAACCCTCAAAGAAGCCTAAACCGCCCGGAAAGGGAGACGATACCCAAAAATCCGACAAGCGGAAGTGGGTCAATGCAATCATTGAGGACAATAAAGAAATCCTCATCAGTGTACCAGACGATAGCATCAAGCTAGCGGCTGTCGAAGAGCTTAAGTTCATAGAGCTCACACCTGGAGATGATTCCAAACTCCTGCGCATCGGATCTGATTTAGATCCTGAGACGGAACAGCAGCTAATCAACTTCCTGCGACACAATGGAGATGTGTTCGCATGGAAAGCCCAAGATTTGTCGGGCATTCCCCCTCAGGTAGCCCTACATCGGCTTAACGTCGACAAGAGGATGAAGCCAGTCAAACAGAGGAAACGAACGTTTGGACCCGAACGCAACAAGCATATCAAGGCAGAAGTGGCTAAACTTCTAGATGCGGGTCATATACGACCAGTTCAGTATCCTGAATGGTTGTCGAACGTGGTACTCGTTCCCAAACCTGGGGGAAAGTGGAGGTTATGCGTGGATTTCACTGACCTCAACAAAGCTTGTCCCAAGGACCCATTTCCTCTACCCAGAATCGATCAACTCATCGATTCGACCTCGGGGTGTGAGCTCCTCAGCTTCCTCGATGCATACCAAGGATATAACCAGATCTTACTCGCGCCAGAGGATCAAGAGAGGGCTAGTTTCATCACTGACCAAGGCATCTACTGCTATCAAGTCATGCCCTTTGGATTAAAAAACGCAGGAGCCACATACCAACGTCTAGTGAACACAATGTTCGCAGATCAAATCGGTAAAAATATGGAGGTGTACATCGACGACATGCTCGTCAAAAGTGTCAAAACCTCAGATCACCTAACCGATCTGGATCAGTGCTTCGCTACCTTGCGAAAATACAAAATGAAACTCAACCCCCTCAAATGCTCGTTCGGAGTTCGAGGTGGTAAATTTTTGGGATACATGATTTCACAGCGAGGAATCGAAGCTAATCCCGCAAAAATCGAAGCAATTACCTCCATGCCTCCACCAACATCCATCAAAAAAGTCCAACAGCTTAACGGTTGTTTGGCATCTTTGAATAGATTCATTTCTCGATCAGCGGACAAGGCCCTACCCTTCTTCAAAATCTTAAGGGGAGGAAAGAAATTTGAGTGGGATGAGGCATGTCAAAAGGCATTCACAGAGCTAAAGTCATACCTAGCATCCCCACCCCTACTCACAAAACCTCACCCAGGAGACACCCTCCTACTGTACTTAGCTACCTCAGCTAATGCCATCAGCGCAGTCCTCATCCGAGATGGAGGAAAAGGCCACCAACCCATATACTACATAAGTCGCGCCCTCCAAGGAGCCGAACAACGCTACACCAACATGGAGAAACTCGCTCTCGCCCTCATCAACGCAGCTCGGAAGCTTCGACCTTACTTCCAGTCGCATCAAGTGGTGGTTCTCACCAATTATCCTCTGAAGCAAATACTAAGAAGTCCTGAGACATCCGGGCGATTAGCAAAATGGGCGATAGAGCTAAGCGAATACGGGGTCGAATTCAAACCCCGCCCGGCTATCAAAGCGCAAGTATTGGCAGATTTTCTAGTTGAAATGACCTCCGTAGAAGAAAGTACCTCTCTTCCAACTTGGTCCGTCAGCGTCGATGGATCGTCCACTGCAACAGGAGGGGGAGCGGGTATCGTCCTAACGAACCCTGATGGAGATGAGTTCGAATATGCTCAACGATTCGAATTCACAGCCTCAAACAACGTCGCTGAGTACGAGGCCCTGATAGCGGGAATCCGCCTCGCCCTAGCAGCTGGAGCGCGCAAGCTCCTAATCCAAAGCGACTCTCAACTCGTCGTTAACCAAGTACTCGGAGTTTACGAGGCCAAAGAAGACACCATGGCGAAATATTTAGCTCTCGCACACACTCTCCTATCCAAATTCGAGAGCTACGAGATAATACAAGTACCCCGCTCCAACAATATCCACGCTGACAAGTTAGCTAGACTAGGAAGCTCCATGGCTAGCATCGGAAGTCGGAAGGTGACGCTCCTCACATCCCCTCAACCGGAAATAACTTCACCCAATGAAGTACAATACACCGAGGAGGATGAACCATGCTGGTTCACTCCAATCCTGAAGTATCTCAAAAAAGGAGAACTTCCAACGGATCCCACCGAAGCACGAAAGTTAAAAACGAGAGCTGCACGATTCGTCATAGTGGGAGAAGAACTGTACAAACGAGGGTT